TGTTTTATAAATTCATTTATTATACACAGTTTCAGTACATGTATATCCCATTCCGAATTTGTACAGCCTTTGAATAATCAGATGTAAGAGATATTGGCATGGCATAGACTATACAGTTTTGCAATCTCTCTCGTGGTTCTTCGAGGTTATTTTAGGAGTCGGAATGTACTTTGTAATTCTGTAAAGTTTGTGACAATAGCTAATTAATTGTCCTGTACTTATGTTTGACAATGACCATTTCTGTTTTTTTTAAATATTCTAGTTTAAGGATAAAATGCGGGAGCATGTAATAATGTAACTTTAAAATGAATCTAAGAGTAAATGGGAGGGGAGGTAACCTGAGTTACTGCGCTGAAATTGTAAAATACTTTTGTTGGTTAATTATTTCATTTCAAAAAACGCACTGCGCTGTAAACACTTTAATGAACTCAATTTACAGTAAGTTAGTTTAAAATATAATTAACGTCAAAATCAACTCTGGAAACAACAAAAGAATGTGGCCAGTGAACTAAAAGAATGTAAGGCTCGTTCATTGTGATTCATATGTAGCAGACAATGAAGAAATCTTTTACCACTGAACAAACGAACAAAACCAGACAAAATTAATCCTAAGAAAACTATGTTTGATGAACTATGCTGGCAAGAAATTTCCCTCATTTAGTAGGACTCAAAGTTTCAATACTGTGTTTATAAAATCCTAGCACAGTACTCTGTCGCGGGCGAGTTAAATCCAATCCACATGTTCTCACCAATTTAATAAAATTTTCCTATTTCAAGATCACAAGTTCAAATACCTTCAGGTTTCCTGACCAAAATTATGTGTGCCTATATATTTCTTATATAATGTTGTTGCGATGAGGTAAAACTATGTGTCTGTGAAACTGGACATCTAACGGGTCTATTTGCCCGACAACAAGACTATATAATGGAATGATGTCAACAAGACAAAGTCAAAAGATACGGAGAAAATCCTGTCTCATTGCTACTTTGTCCACTTCATGGACTGACCAAAAAGCGAACCTGGTCCTCCTTGGCGAGAAGCCGGTGAATAAATGCCTGAGGTATTACACTACCAAATGTCTTACTTTTGAATTGTTTTGCATACAAGAAACCTAACATCATCTTTGATTTGATTAACCTAATAATACAAATTAAAATTTCATAATTGGGATCACCTCCAATGTTATTATTTACGTACTAAGTTTCATAAAAATGCGTTCATTATGTCAGATACTGTTACGGATAAGAGAAGGATGGGCAGATTCGAGTACATTCTCGAGGACTAATGTTCATAAGTCTATGTAGCTTTTTGAAGGAATAACAATAGGCTAAAGACGTAACCTATTATGTTACACGTAATAAATGTCACAGTCGATTCAAGTATCTACACAATAATTTTTAGGTTGGTTTGTTTTCATTAAGACAGGCACGAAATGCTTCGGCCTTTCAAGAACTACTTTTTACCCAGGAAAATACTCGCATAACACACCTCAAATTAGGCTACATTCGCTTCATTATATATCATAAAAATGTATTATTCCTTAATAATCTCGCACTTCCACGTTACATGCCTGCAGTCAAAGAATTTTATTTGTTTCAATCCAAATGATTTTTACTCTAAACTACAGAAACTGTTTACATGAAATTTAAATATTTAAAATTTACAATAAGTAAAAATTAAGTATTTTGTCTTTATGATTTACAACTCCCACTTCCACCTTAATTATACTGATGTGTTATGTTTGTTTCATGGAGACGTTGTAGTTAAGAATTTATAAGGTTCTATTTAAAATATGATAACACAGTAATAATAATAATAATAATTTATTATACGCATCCTTTTCCTATTAGGCAATAGCCTAATTTTTGAACTTTCTGTTACAATAATCCATCACCATCACCGTTGAAGTCCTCTGTTCCATTTCAGTGTAGATTACTTTATAAGCTCGCCTCTTAATACCATCCGTCCTCGCTTATGTTTCTCCAACCTACGACAATTTCCAAAGATACTAAAAATTTCTTACGGAGTGGTTGGTCTGGCAGAATGTCAAAGTAATATAAAGGTACTTTGTCTCTCCAGAATAATTGTTCCTTTTACAAGAGAAACTGTAAATTAAAATATAATTTATTTCAAAATTTGTCATATTTCTGTAGGTTATTCTGTAGTCGACATTATTATATTTCTAGCTAAGAATAATTAAGTAACCAAATAAAGCACAAAATTTTCTCACGTATTCTTTAAAAATTATCTAACAGAGAATCTGAATACTCGGTCACAAGATGACTTCGTAAACGAGAAACAGAATCGGCGGTTTCTGAAACAAAATACGGCAGAAGTAGTTGAGCCCTTTTGACAGTCTGTAACAAAAGTAGCAGACCTGTGCATGATATCAGTCAACACGAAGTTAATGCTGTGAAAATAAACAAAAATATGAATCGATAAGCAAAATAAAAGACTCATTAAGTTTATTACAAATTTTAACATTCTGATGTCTAATTAAGGACAGCAATAAAAGTACACTAATAAGCCTTTTATTGGTCTCATCGATTTATTTATTTATTTAAGCGTATCTGTTTAACAATATATCGGTATTGATAATACATCAATAACACGAATGCTTTTCGTTGTGTAGTAAAATGCGGTTGGAATATGTTAACATAAACACTGTTATTATGTTGGGGTGGGTTGTATTACGTAACATGGTTAACACGGTAATTTAGAAATTGATATGTAAACGAGGATAAAACAACTAACTATTGGCATTTAGCCAAAAATTATCCTGTATTTTACTAAACACGATTATTTATTTCCTTCTTCTCAAGAAACCGAAAACGACTTCCCTTGTCTGACAAATAAATCCAGTCCACAAGCGCCATATTTGATCCCAGTACTCAACAAAAGTTTCTTACCCACGAGCTAAAACTTCCATAAAACCTTTAGCAAAATTCATTTACCCAAATTCCCGCATAAACAACAACCCTTGTGATTCAAATCTTGTCTCCTCCTAACATATGCAGCTTGTTGAAGCATTTTAATTTCAATAATTTCTAATCAGTTTCAACCAATGTTAATCATTTTAACTATCTTAATATAATTATAATATTCCTACAATCCTGCCAGTAAGTAGTATGATTAAGATAAATTCACCAGAAAATGATCCATTTGACGAAACGAAAGCAATTGTGTGGACATATTTTTGTTTTATATTGATTAATCATCATTACAGCAGCATGCTTTTAATTAAGATTAATTAATATTCCTTAACATTCATATTAAAATTAATATTATTCTCCAATCTATGTCCTGGTCTCCCAAGTGGTCTATTCCCTTCAAGCTCTAAAACAGTTGTACTTTTCTCTCCTTCGTATATGCTAATTCAATTGATCTGCATTTATTTGACTGGATTTTATTCAAACGACACCATGTAACTCATGTCCTGAAAGTCTCGTCTCAGAATTCTTTTTCTCACACACTTTGCACCTCGGTGGGGAAGAAGTCGTTGCTTGGAGCCGAACACTCGTTGTTGTATGGTGGGAAGCTTATCCTTTTGATAAAAAATTTCCCCGGTGGCAACAAGAATTTCCCTCTTCGAGCGGATCGGCTATGGGACCTGCCCAGTCTCTAGTCCGTTGTTTATTGAGGATTTTTTCCTAGGGGATAAAGTGGTTCGAGCGTGATACTGCCAAGTAATCTTCACTTATTACAGAGGTTGAAACTGCTTGAAGCTACAAATCACCTTCTTCACAGTGCAATGCGTAAATATGCTCGGAGACGACTTTATATTTTACACAAACAGCCATATACTGGACGGCATTTGATCTCATGCCCGCTTTAACAGCTCTACTTTCCGCGGACAGTGAAACATTAATTAAAGCTGCAACACGGACAGTGACCAGAACAATGATTCATTATGTTTCCGCAATAAATTTAGTGAGTGTTGTGAAGTACGAAAATTAATTTGAAATTCAATTTTGCGTATCATAATTAATAGAACAATATTAGAGAGTGATTAATTGAAACAAATGGGGAATTTGCGTAACATATTCAGTGATTTTGTGATATTTCATTGCATTGTTTTCATCAAACACCACTATTAATTAAATACAATCTAATTATAATTTTAAATTAACGTAATTTTTTCTTACGAAGTAAAATTTATGTTCAAGGCTTATGTGCTATAAATGTAGTAGTTTTAAGAGTAGGTATTTTTATTAAAAAGCGTTAAGAATTCGAACTGAGCTTGCAGCAGCCATATTTAAGTTTTTCTCCATAAATGCAGAGGGTTTACTCAGTACATCTCTCTGAATGTGGTCACATATCTCCCTGATTACCATCGATAACCGTTGTCTCGTACATCGTTCGACCCAAAATCACTAATCGTTGTTGATAAAATATTATAAAGTAATCCGAATAGACAGTAAGGAGTATGTAAGTACTTTGTTGTTGTTTTTTACAGGTGGCATGGCTCCGAGTTGATACCCAAACCATTCTCACTATCGCAACACATGTGATCACCAAAAATCATCGCATTGGTGTGACTCACAGTGATCACAGAACGTGGTACCTTCAGATCCGGGATGTGAGGGAGTCGGACCGTGGCTGGTACATGTGTCAGATCAACACGGATCCCATGAAGAGCCAAATCGGCTACCTGGAGGTGGTGGGTGAGTGTCTGCCAACAAACACGTAGTCTGATTTGTGAAGACGCAGGGTGGGGTCCGCAAAGTGACAAGTTTCCGAAGCGCAGTGTCGGAAGTAGGGAGCAGTCAAGGCTTCTTGAATACTTTAACCTCTTAGCTGGAATAGAGTGTTGCATGACAAAGTTAATTCGCAAACTCCACAGACTGGTCTTCGTGACTTAAAATCTCTTACGGAACAGTCGCTTGGTGAAGGCTACTCTTTATTGTGTTTCATGGGGAACGAGAAAATGGTGTTTTAAATTTCTGAGGGTTTGCTTGACATGTAACGGTTTCGTGTGATGTGCGATCAATTATTATAATTCGTAATAATATATATTATTTTTCCGAAGTCGTAATATAGCCGAAATAAAACGGCGTTACCTTTTTTAAGTGAAGAGAGATTCTGATAAGATGCCTTTGAAGATTATCACCTTTATATGAGACATTGAGCCAAGTTTAAAGGCTGGAAATATGCTTATCGAAAGAGTAAATTTTAGTAGTGTAACGTATTAGGAAACATGGGCGTAATACGGGATCAACATCATCAAAAACTACAGAACATAATTATAAATAACACATCATTTAAATTTTTTCAAAATTTAAGTATCTGGCAAAGAAAATAACAAATATCAATTAGGTCCATGATGAAATTAAGAGTGGAATACAGTCTTTTATTCAGTTCAAAAACTGTTATCTCGTTTACTATCCATAACACTTACGATATATATAAAAAACACTTTGAAGTAAGAGCGCAGATTACAAGTATTTGAAAACAAGGTGCTCAGGAGGTTATTTGGACCTAGGAGGTATGAAATAAGTACGGAATTTAAAATCTTATATAAAGAGAAACTGCGTGAATTGTACGAGTCCCCCAGCATAACGAGGATACTGAAATCTAGGAAGCTCCGATGGGCTGGACATGTAGCACGCATAGGAGGAGAAAGGTGTTCACACAGGATTTTGATAAGGAATCCTTCTGGAAAACGACCACTGGGCAGACCAAGAAGGAGATAACATCAAGATGGATCTTTGGAAGGTGGGCTGTGAGGATGGCAAATGGATGGAGTCTGGCTCAGGATCGTGGCAGGTGGCGGGCTTTGGTGTTGTCGTCGTTGAACCTGCGGGTTATGCTACCAGGAAGTTAGTTACTTAGTTTAATGTATTAGGGACAGCCAGGGATGTGACCGCAAAGGGTTGTCTCCGTTTACGAAATTTATTATAGAGATGAAAGTGGACACTAAACAGGAACAATTGATGATAAGCAATTTCAGAGTCGAATTTATTAATAATTGGTCACTGAATGATCCGGTTCAGTCTTAATAAATTACAAAGTAATATCACGCAGTCAACGAGTCTAGCGGATTGAAAAAGAATACATTTTATCAATTGATATTATTTTATAATTCCCTCTCATATATTGGAAATTCCCGACACACAAACACTTGCTTGGCGTATCTGACTCCCACACCTCGACACTTCATGTACGAACGCAGTGTTCTCACTTTGTTGTTATTCAATTTCTCATCCTCACAGTTGCTCTCTCTTTCCATCTCTCTCTCTCCCTTACCGCCTTTCCTGAGAAGCACTGGCAGAAATACAATACTCCTGCTACTACAATATCGCTGCCACCTGCAAGCTAACAGGGCTGTCCAACACTCTCAGTCATCGAAAAACAAGACAAGAATTACGTCACTGAAATTCTAGCTGATGCATTCTGAAGGAAATATTAATAAAAAGTTATACATCCATTTTGTCAGCTTAATATTCACACCAACGACTGACTAGTTCTGTTTTAGATATTAAAATACGACCGAGTGTTGTATGAAGTACAAAATAGTTTATCCTTATTCTGTGTTGTATTCTTCTACGGAATTCCGTATGACAATGAACAGTTGTACAAAACCCCAATTTCTTCAAATTCATCGATCTGTTATTCTTGATTGTGAGTCAGACGTTACAAGCAAGTTTAGGTTTCAGTGAGGTACATGGATCTAAAAGGCTTATTTATTTCGAATTTAAAAGTTTGTTTTCCATACTTTTCTTTCGTTCTCGAATTATTAGCATGATTATATCCAAACGAGTGAATTCCATATGAGGATCAATGCTTCAAAATATTATTTATAAAATGCGTACAGGGTAATTTAAAGCTCCAGTATAATATTTATGAGATTAACAGGAGGATTATTTAGAGCAAAAAATGTAATCGATATAAATTCAAATGTAATATTCTAAATGCAATCGTTCGTCAGATGTCCATTAAATATCAGAAAGTTATCCTCTTCTAGATCAATTGTACTTTGTTATCACATTCAATGTTGTTTCGTAAATGTATGTCGCGTATATTGTGATCTTGCGTGGGTGAAATGTATGTAGTGGTTTTTTATAATCGGTCAGATATGAAGAGTGGAGGAGGTCCGTCTAGAAGTAATGTTGTGTTGATATTGTGATCGTTTAACGGGGCTCCGAGCTGAGAGTTTTTAAATCTACAGAACCTGAAGATCTTTTATCGTACTCGGGTAGTCATAATAGTAGTAGTAGTAATACGTCTGACAAGTTCTCTCCACACGAACATAAAAGTACTCAAACATAATTACGTGTGAAGTGACAATTGGAAAATACTACAAAGGACAGAATTTGCTTTATTTCTTTATTTCGTTCAGCTCCAACAGGAACAAAATGCGACATATTAAAACCTGTTGTTTCTGTTTTGTAAACATCAACAATCACAAGAATAGAAGTAACATAAGCGTTAAAACATCGTAACTCTTAAACGATGACGAATTTTAGACAAATGTTTACTCCCAATTATTTCCCCAACAACGTCTCGAGTTATCTTACAAGAACTCCGAGTCCTAATATATAATAGCTAAGTTTTTAACATGACAGTGTATAGATTTAGCATAATTCATTATGCCAAAATATTCTAAGCGATCGTCATGTCGTTATTTACATTTATCATGAAATTTAATGAAACAAATTCAGCATTTTTCAATTATTTATTGTTTTACAATTATTCACGATATTGCATTGAATAGCACTGACGCTATCCGCCTCAGAAATTCAGAATCTCGCTTTATAAAATTATTAATGATATTATTATGACGATGGTCATTTCTAGTGGCGTATCTATAAAATTATTAATGATATTATTATGATGATTGTCATTTCTAGTGGCGTATTTTCATAGTTGTTAATTAATGGTTATTGTAGCATATTGACTCATGCATTTAAATGTAAGAAGGAGACACGTGCAAATCTGTAAAACAGGTCAGATTTCTATTAGTAATGAAGCAGATAAGCCTAATTTACGCTTCGTTTCAGTAATTGCTGAGGAAAATAAATAAAGTTAAATAAAATTCTCATTTAATTTGTCAACTCCTATGGAAGTTTAAGTATTCTCTTTGACATGATCTGAAACATTTGGAAACCCCTGGTACAGCACGTATCTAAAGTAACAGCAGCAATCTCCTTGCTATCCTGTGACAATGAAGAAGACATGGCACATACAGACTCGACAACGAGGGGAGGAAATAGACCTCCTGAAATTTTGTGCTGCATTCAAAAGCGAGGCCAATTTTATCCTGTTTCCTCTGGGTTTGAAACAAGTTCAACACTTTCTTGTGTTTTTTTATTAAAGCCGGAGAATGTAACCACTTCACGTACAAGATTGTCTCAGACAATATAATTTCTATATATTCACCAAAGGTCTCATTATAATAGCGCATTCTTTCTAAAGATTTAACATAACGCTGGATGTTCTACTATTTCAGGAATTTAAAAAAGGTTACTTCATGTGTAATAATGTTACTTTCGTGATCAGAAGCTGCTTTATATGCGATATCGCGCAGAAATTGAATATTAAAATTATTTTAAAAGTCACCTTTTGCTGATCTTTCTGATAAGACGAGAGCCTGAATTATATTTATATAAAAGATAGACATGAAGACGATTTTTTGTGGGTTAGTGCGCCGTATAGAGTCAGCACCCTGATGATCGAGGTAGCAAGAACCTCTGATACTTCTGTAAACGTCTAAGAAACTACACGGCTCAACAATCCAGAAGAAAACCAACTTAAAATTCGCAGTCGTGAGGACCTGAAATCTCACAGTACAGACATAGATTGTATTAGAAAATAATAATTTTATTTCGTACTAAATAACAATACAGGTAACTCTGTTTTATATATAATTTTAATAATAATTGGGGGTTTCATACTGAAAAATACAAAATTTATAACCTGACAGTAAAATATTTTGTCCAAACAGCTTTTAAGTTATTTGTTATGGCAGTTTTACAAGCATAATCAGCGGACGTTTTATTCAAAATGTCCGCTTATAGGAAGTGTATATGTACGTCAGATAGAATTTGTATATATTAATGGTCTTAGCCTGAGCGAATTGAGTGTCACAGTTCAAAACCCGGAGTAAATGATATTTTTTTTCAGAAAATTAATGGATAGACCATCGGAACCGCAAAAAAGTCTTCTCGAAAACGAACGTGCGAAGATGTTTGATTACCGAGTCTATATGCGCAGTGCCCACAGAATACACACACTCCAATCATATTTTATCTTTGCATATTTGATATAAACTTTATTTTCTCTGTGTGAACGAGTATCTTCTTCGTTTCTACAAGACGGAATTTCGGATCACTACTCACAAACGATACGGCACGTGTTCATCTGGCCCTTCCCTGATTAGAATTCCAGTTATCAGTAGATCCATTACAACCACTAACTGACTCATTTTCGTGAAGCCAAAACATTAACCTCAAAGATTCCACCCTATCAAGTACATTATTTAGTGTGAACCAGGTGCCCTATGACTCCTTCAGTCTTCCAGAACAGGTATTGAGGAAACTCAAGAACATGTTTTTAAGAACTCCATGAACTAACAATCTGTATTAAAACTGCTTATGTCTGAGAAATATTTCTCTCTGAAGCTAATCCGTTCCGTGTACAATTTTTCTTGTGTCATTTTCTGAAA